AGACTCAACAAGTGTCTTCAGAGCATCAATATCAATTCTAACAGTTGACAAACGGTTCAAATGCTAAAGTATTTTAAATACTGTTCTTAAAAATATTATTGTGAGCTTTGTTTTAATATTATAATTTAGTATTATTTGCTTGTTTGTTTTGACGCTAAGCTACACAATAGGCTGTCTGCTCTCCGTCCACCAAAGGAAATCGAACTCCAGATGTTAACATTGTAATTCCGTAATCTTACCACTGATACACTCAGAGTGATGGAGAGTATTATTTTCTAGAAGGAGTTTTGGTGAGATATAGAGATGATATGCGACGCCTAGAAATTTCCTGTGTGTCTAGATTTGACATGAGGTGCATATGAAGTATCGCATTCTCCAGAGACATGGAGGAACAAATATTGCAATAAGATAAAGATACCAGAGAATAAGTTAGTCCATGAATGGGTTAGCTAGTTAGTTTAGCCAATATGTAACTGTGTTGTCAATCGACTATTGAGTTGGCGAATGTGTTAGTTAACTAGATTTGAATTTCTGCTGTAGATACGATGACTTTTAGTTTTATATGTGTGTTAAGCTTATCTTCCGGTGAGCTTATGATAGAAGAAATAAAACACTTTTCCTTTTCGTTAAGTAGATTAGACATAGCTTTATTTTTACCGAATAAGAAAACATTTGAAAATAGAAATCGATTAAGCTTACAACGCTAAAAATATGTCTTTGATACCAACGTTGGAAAGACCATAAACAGCCCATTGTATAACTTTGCGCTTAACAACAAATAAAAAAATACAACTGATAGAAAACAATCCTTGAAGCGGGAATCTGGAAATTTCACATTCTTAGTAATAGAAGAAGGCCAGATAAAAAGAGAGACAATCAGATTGTTGAATGAAAATATATTTCTTTTTTTCGCTTTATTACATTTATAACCTAGGCCAGAGTTGATGCTCAATATTTTAACAAAATAAACATCAGAGTAATATACATCTTTTTTGCAACTTACTTAGATATATATATATATATATATATCATAAAAATTTGCATTTCTGTTGTGGTTTTAATGTATCTCAGAAATTATAATTCAAATAACACATCTATCTAGCTTGTCTTTTAACATAGGATCTTTCGATCAAACAGAGGCAAAGTAGTATTTTTGGGTGGCAAACCAAGGAATAAAAAATTCAGATAATTGCTTCTTGGAGGTATTGTATACACCATTGAAAAGGTTGGAATCTGTTGTATTGAAATATCTAATCCATATAATGATAATGTGTTTTAATTGGGAGTTAAAGAAACACATGTTTTCGGAGTGGTCGCACCACCTTACCAGTGATGGTCACACACATGAATTGATTATCTTTTTTTTTATTCTCAAGTCAAATTATGCGACCTTTCTTCATTGTTTGCTTGAGGTTGGACACCTTATTCTTGGTCTTCTGATCTGTGGAAGGCTACTGCCATTACCATCACCACTGTCCTTGTTAGCGCCAAACCTATTTTTGATTTTCGCCACAGCATCTTTTGGTTTGATAGACGGATTTGCTTTAACAATGACTGTCAAAAAGTCCACCGTGATCGCATCTACAGCGGCTGCACATGAGGCAAATCGAACATCTAGAAACCTTGCACGTGCAGGTAATCGAAAGAATAATGGTGATTAATGATAAAATGCCAAAGAGTAATAAAGTTCCAGTCACGGTCAGCGGGATTTGAAAATCTACCGAGCTCTGGCCTGAAAAACAAATGCAGCGAAAAAGGAAAAAAAAAATAAAAAGACTCGTGTAGCAGACCTATTGTTTACACAACAAGAAGTACTATTCTAAACTATGGGATTTCTGTTGATGATATAGCCAGTCAAAGCTCGGTTAAATTTTGTTTGATTTTAAACTCTAAATTGTAACCGGCATATCTCATCGTATGCTACATCCTATTTAAGTATCACCAAAATCGGATAAATCCTGAAGTTTTTACGTCCGATCTTTGCCACCGATGTGTCCCCGTTTGAAAAAGAGATCCTGTGTTAAAACGGTAATATCTAAACAAAATCTAATATGAAAGTTAGCCTCGCAGGCCAACTTCAAGAGAGAATTTATATCAGAAATAAATATTATTGTATTGTACGTTTCTAGCCAAAGTAATAAGATTACGGTAGCTACACAATGGACTATCTGTGCTTTGTCTATCGCGCGTATCAAAACTCGATTTTTATCGTTATAAGGACACAGACATAGCACTGAGCCATCAGGTGGTAAAATATAGTAAGGGACTTTACATATTACGTAATTAACAATACTAGTGTTATCCTTTGCAACTGATATAAAGATGCATTTTTGAATTCGATAAAAAAAAATTCTAGCTTAGATTACGTTTTGTTTGTTTGTGTTTTA